TGAATCCTTCTAACTCGACTAAGCTACGCAAGCCATCAAAACCTAAGAGCATTGCTGCGAAATACCTGTAGGAACTCATTACCCCGTACACACCTAAGGAACTAATCATATCCTTACCATATCGATCCGGCCTACTACCCAGCTACCCCATTTATCCGAGTTTCCTGCTGATTTACCTTCAACTTGATATCCCCTCTTGCTGTAGCACCACAATTCCTCAACCCAGACTTACCACATGAGACCCAAGCATAAAACCACATTGTCTAAGGTTCATAAGCCGCTGAGTACTCTCTTAAGTGTTTCCAAAAGCACCACGTTTAAAATACCTACCCCGAAGGGACTTCCTGCAAATCTGGAACCATTACCTTCCTAATACTGATATATAGAATCTCATAGGAAATGTAGGAAGTACCACAAGTCTTGACATTTTCCAAATGAAAACTCAGTTCCTAACCACATATACAACTTTAAAATACCCAATTGTTACATGTAGAATCTTGAACACATTAGAGCCATTCTCGAGAGTCATTCACTCTATTCAAACTGCAATTAGTCTGATCAAATGAACCGAACAACCCGTGCCTCATTGGCACTCCGACACCACAGAATGTAACCTCATCCCAATATAACCAAGCAACTTCCTACTCTATGCACTGAGCATTCTTGCCAATAACAACTCAAGACATCCTGTGATTCTCACACGCCTATGAAGCATAATATAATCTTCATCAAAATTTTCCTTTACCCGAGCCATCCTCGGTCTCAACCTCCGTAGGCCATAACTGATTCACCCGAACGTCTCAAATCGGAACCAACATAGCACATAACCGTGCAATCGCTTAATCAATAGCAGACTCCCCCACTTGGCTCGGAGCCGTAGACCAAAATACACACAATAACTCATAACGCATATACTCTATTGCTGCCACAATGCCATAGTGAGATTAAAATCAAACCTTCATAAGCTCGTGAAACACAGACCATCTAGTACCTTGAATCTTCTGCAAATCTCGCATTCATCCTTGCAACAGTCAAGCCCACTCTCTTAAGCGACTCAAAATTTAAATTTCAACACTTATATTTCACTTGTAAATGAGACCTTCTAAAAGACACATAAGGATCACACAACCTCGGAACACTTCGCAGGAGATAACCCACCTGCCTTGTCTTCAACTAACATTTCTGTATACCTTCCACCGTCACAAACATTATGTAGTCACTTAGCTTTCCTGAGTTTGAGCTCATACCGCAACATGAAATTTACTTCACTCCCAATTAGGACACATGAAAAGACTCTTCACACGCCCATAACTCGGGGCTCTACCTCGAATCAAGATGGAATTCAAGCACCTAATAGTTCTTCTATCCTCTAGCAGACCCTTCTCGTCGCCTCCAAACCATATGGATATATCTCGCAGTACTAGCATACTCATCACATAGTTATCCAACCGTCACTCCTACTAGTAGGGAAACTACCGAACATATGAGTTCAAAAACACTTGTTCACACAATCAGCACATCGGTGCTCAAGCTATAGGCAAAGATCCGGCCTCAAGTCCTCCAGACTGGCCCAACATCAACTCACAGTAATCACATCTCGCCTCTCGATCAGGGAATCACAAGCCATCAAGGCACATCTGATACTGAGCGCTCATGAGCGCATACGAACTCGTGGAAGGAATTCAAGAGTTACTTTTCAAGTTGAATCAAGGACGCACGATTAGAATTAAAGAATGTGAAGTTTTCCTAAGGGTTCTGCACCTCTTGAGGATAAATACAGACGTCTCTGTACCGATCCACAAGACTCTACTAAACCTGCTCATGACTCGTGAGACTTATGTAACCTAGGCTCTGATACCGACTTGTCACGACCCTAACCCGAAAACCGGTCGTGATGGTGCCTCTTGTGAAGACAAGGCCAGCCAGTTCAACCCAACTCAACTTTTAAATCACTTAATCAACATAAAAATGGTCTAAACATGATTTAAACAATACTAAATAGCAAAAATATCGATAACAGTGCGGAAAGTCCAACCCGACACAGCCCTAACCGGGGTGTCACAAGTCACGAGCATCTCTAAACCATAATACTAGTCTGCTAAAGTTTTAAACTACTACAGATGTTTGAAAGGAAACAGAAATGATGGAGAAGTAGAGACACCGGGCTGTGGACGTCAACAACTACCTCGTAGTCTCCGAAAAACCGTCTGGAACCTGAGGAATCAGCACTCAGGAGCGGTACCAGCTACGCCTGAATCTGCACACAAGGTGCAGGGAGTAAAGTGAGTACTCCAACTCAGTGAGTAACAAACGTAAATAACGACTGAAAGTAAGAAAACACGTAAAATGCAAGGCATTCTATACTGAAGCAGTAAAAGATCACTTAAAACAGTAAAACAGTGAAGAGTAAAGTAAAATACCTCTTCAACAAGTAAAACAAGTAATTGACAAGTAAGTAATTCGCCCCTCGGGCACAAAATCAACGAATACGCCTCTTGGGCAACATCTCAGAACAGTACCAGCCCCTCGGGCTTAAACTCAGAACAATATCAGCCCCTCGGGCTCAATCTCATATCACAATGGGTACCCATGCTCACTGGGGGTGTACAGACTCCGGGAGGGGCCCCTTACGGCCCAAGCGCAATATCAAGTCATCTCGTGGCATCAAATCTAGGCCCTCGGCCTCATATCAGTATCAATGTATCCTCACAACTAGGCCCTCGGCCTTACTCAGTCCAAAAATCATCACAAGCCCCTCGGGCAATAGTAAAACAGTATTTCTCAGCCCAAAACATCATTTATAAATATCATTTAAGTCTCAATAGTTAGTAAAGATGGCTGAGTAGTAAAACAGTAGATAATAACATGACTGAGTTCAAGTAATGAGTCAAAACAGTGAGGAAATAGTAATAAGAATCCCCGAAAGATTCAACTAGTTGGCACAAAGCCCAAATATTGCAATCAGCCCAAATCATGATGATAGCAAATAAGTTTCAGTCATATACGCGGTAAAATCATCAATCGGGACGGACCAAGTCACAATCCCCAATAGTGCACGACCCCACGCTCATCATCGAGCATGTGTCTCACCTCGATATAGCACTACGATGTGCAAATCCGGGGTTTCAAACCCTCAGAGCATCATTTACAATCATTACTCACCTCGAACCGGCTAAATCTCTAGCTCGCGATGCCTTCGCCCCTCGAATCGGCCTCCACGCGCGTCGAATCTATCCAAAATCAGAATGAATATGTCACAATATGCTAAGGGAACAAATCCCAAGCGAGAACAATCAACAAAAGGCACAATTCCCGAATTACCAAAACCCGAGCCCCGGGCGAACGTTTCGGAATTGGGTAAAATTTACATTTTCAGTATCCTCATACCCTCACGAGTCTAACCATACCAAAATTATCCAATTCCGATACCATTTGGTCCTTCAAATCATCATTTTATATTTTTTAAAGATTCCACAACTTTTCTTCCCAAATTCCATCCCAAATAACGAATTAAATGATGAATTTAATGATAGATTCATGTATTCTAGCCAAATCTGAGTTAGAATCACTTACCCCAATGAATTTCTTGAAAAACCTTTGAAAAATCGCCAAAATTCCGAGCTCTCTAAGTCAAAATATTAAATAAAACCCAAAACCTCGTATTTATAGATTACCCCACAGATTTGCACCTCTGCGGACCACACAAAAACGACCGCGGTCCGCACAAAACCAGTGCGTTCCGCACAAAAACGACTGTAGCCACACAGGTTTTCATCTACAGTGACAAGCTTTAGTATTTTGGACATAACTTTCTCTACAGATTTTCAAATTCCGATTTCTTTACCTTTCTGGAAACTAGACACGAAGGGCTACAATTTTCGTTTGGAATCATCTCAAAATTACTTGTAGATCAAAAGATATGAGCTTCCGAAATAGGACTAGTGAAATGTTCCCTACCGCGGTCGCACTGCATTTTGTGCGGTCCGCACAGCACCTACCACGGCCGCACTTCATTTTTTTGCGGACCGCACTGGTGGGTTCCGAGGCCTTCAACCCTTCTGGACCTGCTACAGCTATGATTTTCGGCCTAAAATATCCCGGAACCTACCTGGAACCCCCGGAACTTCAAACCAATTGTATCAACACATCCCATAACATCGTTCAAAATTGTTCAAAACTTCGGAACGCTCACAACAATATCACTCACCAATTTAACATAGGATTCAAGCCTAAGAACTCCAAGAACTCTTAAATTATGCTTTCGATCAAAAGGTCTAACAAATCTCGTCCGAATGACCTGAAATTTTTCACACACACCCCAAATGACACAACGAAGCTACTGCAACTCTCGGAATTCCATTCCGACCCCTATATCAAAATCTCGCCTATCAACCGGAAATCGCCCAAATATCAACTTCGCCAATTCAAGCCTAAATCTTCTCTACAACTCCAAAACCCATTCCGATCGCGCTCCTAAGTCACAAATCACCTCATGAAGCTAATCGAACCATAAAAATTCCAATCCTAAATCAAATACAAACAAGTCAAATCTTGATCAACCTTTCAAATTTTAAGCTTTCAACTGAGAATGTTCTTCCAAATTCATTTTGATTAACCTGAAACCCAACACCAACGATTTACATAAGTCATAATACACCACACGGGGCAAGTCATGCCCGAGAACTGTCGAGCGAAGTGCAAAAGCTCAAAACGCCTGGTCGAGTCGTTACACTATGTTGCTCAGACTCTTCGAAAATATTCAAAAGTAGTACATTTTTGGAGGATCCGACACGGGTACGACACTATTTTGGAGAGTCCACGCATCTTAGTTTGAACTGTTCTATCATGTTGCATGTCTTTATTTTCCAGATTACTAGTTCAACATATTGTGAATAGACAACTTAATAGTGTGACAATTCTTATATTACTGTCAGTGTATAGAAGCTAAACGCTTTCAAATACGAGTACCATGCATGCTAACCAATGAGAATGTGAAGCAGAGAAAATATTTGTACTGTGGTATGGACCGACACCTCGCGTGACAGTTACAGATCCAAAGCTAATTCGAGAATTGCTGAACAGATTTAATGAATTCCACAAGCCTGAAGCCAATGCTTTCATTCATTTGTTTGTTACTGGACTTACGAGTTATGACGGAGAAAAATGGGACACCCACAGAAAGTTACTCAACCCTGCCTTTCATGTAGAGAAGTTAAAGGTATTATTTACTAATTGTTAGTCTTAATTTCTTGGTTGAACTCTAAATTAGACAATGGTATTTCATGTTTTGGATTTAAGTTTACACTGTAGTTTAACCAGTGATAATAGAGGCTAGTTACTAATTTTACTGGTTATTGGTTAATGCTTATTATAGGAATTAACTTGGTGTAAATATTTTTTGAACCGTCAGGCGTATAACTTAAAATTCTTAATATTTATATGCTTGTCTTACAGAGGATGTTCCCAGCATTTGCTATGTGTTGTGATGAAATGTTAAATAGATGGGAGGAATTGGTTGGCAAAACAGGAAGTTGTGAGTTGGATGTGTTAAATGAGTTTCTAAACTTAGGTGGAGATGTTATATCAAGAGCTGCCTTTGGTAGCAATATTGAAGAAGGAAGGTCAATTTTCCTACTTCAAAAGGAGCAGTGCGAACTAATTTTGGCGTCTTCGTTCACCCTTTTCTTTCCCTCGCTAAGGTGTGTTTATAGTGAAATCGTATAGAATAACTAAGCAGAAGTACTTTTTTCGTTCAACATTTGGATCCTCAGTATTATAACTTGTTTCAATTTTATGCAGATTTCTTCCTACGGCTTCAAACAGAAAAGCAAAGTACATCCACAAGAAAGTTATATCTTTGATAAGAGGAATAATAGAGAAACGAGAAGATGCTGTGCGAAGAGGAATTTCAGACAATGATGATATTTTAGGCCTACTCCTAAAAGCAAGAAACGCAGATAACAAGTCTAAAGCAGGAGGACAAATAACGACCGAGGATGTGATTGAAGAATGTAAAGAATTCTACTTTGCAGGTCAAGATACAACCACTGCTTTGCTCTCTTGGACAATGGTGGTCTTGAGCATGCATCCTGAGTGGCAAGACAAAGCTAGGAAAGAAGTCTTTCAAGTCATTGGGAAAAATAAACCAAAGTTTGATGACTTAAATCAGCTAAAATTAGTAAGTAATAGCAATAATTAGTATACTATTTTCATGTCCTATATTTTAAAAGTTTCAAAATTCTGATGATTTCTTTATTTTGTAATGATCGATCACTAGATAAACATGATATTCCAAGAGGTGTTGAGATTATATCCAGCAATATTTCTTGTTCGAAGCATGTCTAAGAACACCAAATTGGGAGACATGACAATTCCAGCAGGAGTACAAGTGTGCGTGCCTACTCATTTGGTTCATCGCAATCCAGAAGTATGGGGAGACGATGCGTTAATGTTCAATCCAGAGAGGTTCTCTGAAGGGGTATCAAAAGCTGCAAAAGAGCAGATGTATTTTCCGTTTGGTTGGGGTCCTCGGATGTGCATTGGGATGAACTTTGGCATGTTAGAAGCCAAGCTGATTTTATCTCAAATTCTGCAGCGCTTTTGGTTTGAGCTCTCTCCTTCCTACACTCATGCCCCTCTGTTGACTCTGATTATGAGACCTTAGTATGGTGCTCAGACAATTGTCCACAAACTTTGACTAGAGGTTTTGTATGTGAGTCGTACTAGTACTAGTTTTTGAATAAAGGTTGAGATATACTCTGCTCCTACTTTATGCATTTCGGTATCCATTATTTTGTATGTGAAAACTTTGTTGTCATTAGCATTATGAATTTATTAACCCTTGAAAGAGTTTTAGTAGTATTTCTTAAGCAAGCATAGAGAAAAAAAGGTTGCAGCTTGTCTCGCACTAGCGTGGGAATGAATCGTCCTTGCATTTTACACAGCAAAACTTATTCAATCACAAGTATCTCTAAGAATGAGGCTATTGAGATTGACAGAGCTGGATCGAGGATTTGAGGTTTATGGGTTTCTATCGTAGTTTCAAATTAATATGCAATAATAAATGGGTTTACAATTAGATATTTACATATATTTAGTAAATTTTTTAATATAAATATAAGGTCTAAACAAGAGTTATTGAATTTCTGGGAACTCATATTCAATGCTCTAGGTCCGCCCGTGGAGATAGATATAAATACCTATCCCCCTCCCAAGGAAAGTAGAAAAGGATCTATACATGCGATATTCGAGAGAGAAGAAACTTGCATGTTTTTTTTGAGATGCAACCCCATGCGAGAAAAAGAAAAGTAGAAAAGGATCTATAGTATGTCTTTTTGCGAGAGAGAAAAAACTTCCATGTTATTTTTGAGATGCAGATTAGGTCGTCGATACAATAGAGTCTGATTCATCGAATCCAACATTGTAAGCTCCTAAATTTTAGTACTAGTAGCTTTGTTGAGATTACAAGATTGGTGAATGGGAAATGGATGGAACAAAGTGAAGGGAAAGTAAGTTCTTTTTTGCTTTGGAAAGACCAAAATGTCCCTCATTGGTGGTGGAAAGAAAAGTAAATGTGCTATACTGAGAAAGCACTTTTCTTGTTAAATGAGTTAGAAGGAAAGTAAGCCTCGTGTCGTCGTCGTCGCTCGCTAGGCTTCGGTCAAAGATTGATTTATTAATCTTTTTGGACAAAATTTCTTTCAATTGTATAATTAATTAACGAAAATTCAACGCGGAATAATCCACGACACGACACGACCCGGTCTGTTTCTTTCCCAGAATATTTCAAACGTGAAATGTTCCCACCTGTTCCAACAACCATGGATATTTCTGAAAGGTTGCAAATCTCTTCAGAAACAGTACCAGAAAATGGTTATAAATAGAGTTTTTGGTACCAATACACTGGTGAGTTAAATTGTTCTATCTTGGGAGGATAATATTCCAGCACCTTAGGTATTTGAGGCGAATAATTTTCTTACGGACACAATGTGCATTCAGTGGGATCGATTTATTCCGAAATTATTTTTCAGATATTATTTCGACATTCTGTTGCTGCTAATTTTCTGTTTCTGATTCTGTTTCAGAAAGTTTACTATTTCATTATTCATTACAGTAATACAGATTGAATAACAATCTTAAGAAAATTACTTTTTTAAAATATAATTTGTATTCTATTTTTGGAGATTAAAACATATGTGGTTTTCTACTGCTTTTGAATTTTTCTATTCTGATTTAATGATATAAAAACTTTATCGGAGTATTAAAATTCAGAAACGATTTGAAGAACATAAAAACTTCATCGCTTTCTGTGAAATGGTATGTAAAAACTTTGGTTTTTATTTATTAAACGTATTGTCTATCATTAATTACAGTACTATTTAATGTACTATTTTTGTCATTAATTGAACTCTTCTCTTGTTGACTGTGAGAAATGACAATTGATAATGAAAATCCTTCTGCGACTGTTGCGGCAATGGCGATAGCCTCGTCAAGCTGAACTGTTGTGCCACCGACTGAGAAATCGGAAAATTTTCTGGAGCCAACTTTAATGGATAGCAGCAAAAGGTGTTTTTATGGATTACCACGCTTGGTATGTGTGACGACCCGAAGGGTCATCACCGTAGTTCTTCCTTGTTCCGCGCTTTCGAGGCCTTGAAAATCTCGCTTTTAGTTGCCTCGATTGGCATGCGCAGTTCGGGCGCGTAGTCGGAAAGTTTTTATGTTAGAATATGTGAATTATGTGAAACATTTGATGAATTTTGGTATTAATATGTATAATGTTGAATTCGGTCAACATTTTGGGTAAACGGACCCGGACCTGTAATTCGACGGTCCCGGAGGGTCCGTAGAAAAATATGGGACTTGGGCGTGTGCCCGGAATCAAATTCTGAGGTCCCAAGCCCGAGAAATGAATTTTTGAA